AAAAAAAAAAAAAAAAAAAGGCTGGGCTTGGTGGTGCGCTTGTAGTCCCAGCTACCTGGGAGGCTGAGGCAGGTGAATTGCTTGAACCTGGGAGGCGGAAGTTGCAGTGAGCTGAAATTGTGACACTGCACTCCAGCCTGGCCCTCTCAAAAAAAATAAAAGAAATTTGAACTTAGAAAGTTGTGTCCTCAGGTCTAGTTTTTTTTCTATCAATTACTCTTTTGGGAACTCAGATTATCATAAAATTAAGAGGTCCAGGATGGGCGTGGTGGCTCACGCCTGTAATCCTAGCACTTTGGGAGGCCAAGGTGGGCAGATTACCTGAGGTCAGGAGTTCAAGACCAGCCTGGCCAACATGGTGAAACCCCATCTCTGCCAAAAAAAAGAAGAAAAATACAAAAAATTACCCAGGTGCAGTGGCACACGCCTGTAATCCCAGCTACTCTGGAGAGGCTGAGGCAGGACAATCGCTTGAACCTGGGAGGCAGAGGTTGCAGTGAGCCCAGATCACACCACTGCCCTCCAACCTGGGCTACAGAGCGAGACTTCGTCTCAAAAAATATAAATAGAGTCCAAAACTCCGAAACTGGTATACGATGTTCTCTGCATCTCTAGTCTCTTTTTTTTTTTTTTTTTTTTTTGAGACAGAGTCTCACTCTGTCGCCCAGGCTGGAGTGCCGTGGTGCAATCTCAGCTCACCGCAACCTGCACCTCCTGGGTTCAAGCGATTCTTCTACCTCAGTCTCCCGAGTAGCTGGGACTACGGGCGTGCACCACCACACCCAGCTAATTTTTATATTATTAATGGAGACGGGGGTTTCGCCATATTGGCCAGGCTGGTCTTGAACTCCTGACCTTGCGATCCACCCGCCTTGGCCTCCCAAAGTGCTAGGATTACAGGTGTGAGCCACCGCACCCAGCTGAAACTATTGATCTTTAAACAATCTCTCCAGTCTCTGAGCCTCTGCACGTTCCCTTTTGGAATGTCCCCTTTGCCGTCTTCTACTGACCTTCAATTTTTATTTGCTTCACTTCAGTGTGTTTCCCAGAGTTGAATGAGGCTAGGCAGACAAATAAATCCAAAGTTTGGGGGAATAATAGTGATTGGTTTTGTTTTAGATGTAGGCAATAGAAACAAAATATGCAGAAAAGGGAAGGACCAGGTTTTATTTTAATTTTTATTTTTTGAGACAGAGTCTGGCTCTGTTGCCTAGGCTGGAGTGCAGTGGCACAATCTCAGCTCACCATTACCTCCGCCTCCTGGGTTCAAGCAATTCTCCTGCCTCAGCCTCCCGAATAGTTGGAACTACAGGTGCACACCACTAGGCCTGGATAATTTTTGTATTTTTAGTAGAGACGAGGTTTCACTATGTTGGCCAGGCTGTTCTCAAACTCCTGACCTTGTGATCCACCCACCTTGGTCTCCCAAAATGGTGGGATTATAGTCATGAACCACTGCACCCAGCCTAGGATCAAGTTTTTATACTCCTAGAAGTTTCTAGGTAAGTCCGTTCTACCTCAATCACTGCAGATATTCTCTAGGTCCAGAGGGCTGATGTAGTTACTGTACACCCTAGCCTGGATCATTGGGGAAGGGCCCAAAGTAAGGGCACAGCACGCTCATTCTAGCTTCGTGGAAAGCAGCAGCTGCAAAGGCTCAGTTCTTGACCTGGAGCCTGAGCTCTATAGCTGAACTTCTGTATCTGCATTATCAAGGGGGTGCTGGAAACAATTCAAGGTTTTTATGGGATTCCATTGCCCAAAGGAGACTAAGAAGCCCTCTCTAATTCCATCTCCTGTTAAAATGGGAAAACAGGCCGTGCGCGGTGGCTCAAGCCTATCATCCCAGCAAATTGGGAAGGCCGAGGCTGGCGGATTACCTGAGGTCAGGAGTTCAAGACCAGCCTGACCAACATGGCGAAACCTCATCTCTACTAAAAACACAAAAATTAGCTGGGCATGGTGGCGTGCGCCTGTAATCCCAGCTACTATGTAGGCTGAGGCAGGAGAATCACTTGAACCCGGGAGGGGGAGGTTGCAGTGAGCATCCACCGTGTCATTGCACTCCAGCCTGGGCGACAAGAGCGAAACTCTGTCTCAAAAAGAAAAAAGATGGCCAGGTGCGGTGGCTCACACCTGTAATCCCAGCATTTTGGGAGGCCGAGGTGGGCGGATCACAAGGTCAGGAGATCGAGACCATCCTGGCTAACAAGGTGAAACCCCGTCTCTACTGAAACTACAAAAAAATTAGCCGGGTGTGGTGGCGGGCGCCTGTAGTCCCAGCACTTTGGGAGGCTGAGGTGGAGAACCATGTGATGTCAGGAGTTAGAGACTAGTCTGGCCAACATGGTGAAACCCCGCCTCTACTAAAAAATACAAAGATTAGCCAGGTGACAGTGGCATGTGCCTGTAATCCCAGCTACTCAGGAGGCTGAGGCAGGACAACTGCTTGAGCCTGGGAGGCAGACGTTGCAGTGAGCCAAGATCGTGCCACTGCATTCCAGTCTGGGTGACAGAGTGAGACTGTCTCAAAAAAAAAAAAAAAAAAAACAACCACCAAGAGATATGCTTGAGCATCCTTTCCACCAAGCAACAGTTCAATCTTGGGCAAAAGAGCCTTAGGTATAAGTTGAAAATAACACCATCTACTCATATAGAACACCCATTATGTTGCCTAGCTCATGTCACTCAGGAAAAGTGAGCTAATTAGTGGGTTTCTGTCACAGGGGTCTTCTGCCCCCCTTGAGTTCTGGGCCTAAAAGTGAGGCTGAGGCTGCAGCCTCCTAAGACATGAGCAGTTACAACCATACTCCCCAGCTGTGAACCCTATCTGATGCCGTTAGGTGAAGGGGCAGAGCCTGTAGTGGCTGGAAGAAAATGTCACAAGCTCTCAGCCTCTCTCAAAGCCCTGGCCAAGTATAAAACAGAGCAGGAAACTCCTTTCCCCTTTCACCCCTTTACTGCCCCGAAAGGAAGAACAGAGAACAGGGGCTCTTTCTTCTTCTGGGCTCTGTTGCCTCCCCAGGCCCTCCCCTGCATTAGACACAAGACACGGATGGCCGACTCCCCCTTAAATAGCTGTTTATTTGGCAGTGTGCTGGAAAGGGTGATGGACTTAGCATTCACAGACGACACCATACACCACTGTCACGAGGGAGGCAAGAGCGCGGGCAAGCCAGTCTGGAGCCCCGAGAAGGAGGCCCCCTCTTCAAGAGTGGGAGGGGGCGGGGCCTGGAGTGTTGGGGGCAGCCTGGGAACATCTCCGCTTAATAGGCGTGGTTAGAGACGAAGAGGGACTCGCTAGCAGCAGCGCCGGCATGACCGCTCGGGGTGTACTTTCCTTGACAGGCAAGGCTGTTGGCCTAAGCGGGGAGAAGGGTGGAGTGAGAAGGGTTCTTTTCCAAGTCCCGTCCACCCAGGGACCCTGCCCACCTCCTGCCTATCCTTACCAGGGCTCGCTTGACGTACTCCTCCTGTGCAGCCTTCAGGTTCTCCTTCTTCCCACCCCAGGCCTTCAGGGCAGAGGCCTGCAGGGCTCGGCCATAAGAGAAGGTCAGGGCCCAGGGCTTCAGCAGGGGGCACTTGTTAATGGCATTGAGGTTGATGGATGCCTCCTCCTCACTCTGGCCTCCAGACAGGAAGGTGATCCCTGTAGAGCAGGGGCGAGAGGCTGTGGTCAGAGACCCAGGGAGCTGGCAGGAGCTGGTGGAAGCTGCCATGGAAATCCGTCCAAATGGGCATAGGGTTGTGGGTAGAGCTCATCTACTGCCTAGAGGTCAAGATGACAGTGTGGGCCTCACCAGTGACAGCCGGGGGGACTGTGCGGCGCAGCGCTGTGACGGTCGCCATGGCAATCTCCTCATGAGAAAACTTCTGGGTGCAAGCGTGGCCTGGGGTGACCATATTGGGCTTCAGCAAGGTGCCTTCCAGGTAGATGTGGTGGTCGCTCAGAGCCTTGTAGACAGCAGCCAGCACCTGGAGCAGAGCAGGGGCATGGTGGGGTAGTGAGGTGGAGGGGAGGATAGGGGTTAGCCCCAGGGTCCCCACCCAGTCACCTTGCACTGGTCAGGCAGGCAGTCACTTACCTTCTCGGTCACATACTGGCAGCGCTTCAAGTCATGGTCCCCATCAGGGAGGATCTCAGGCTCCACGATGGGCACAATGCCATTCTGCAGGGTGAGGGACAGGGTCACTGAGGCCTCCTAACCTGGAGTCCCACCTACCGCTCTCCATAGCCACTGGTTAAGACCATATCTTGATGATGCCAGGGACTCAGGCTTCAAAGCCCTCAGCAGATGACAGGAGACAGGCGCCTCCTCAGATCTACCCATAATCCCTCCTTAGCCCCTCTGCCTCGAACAGCCCTTGAGTGCTCTCCACCGGCCAAAGCTGATGCTTGCTTTGGGGGAGATAGGCATCATGGCGGGTGACTGGCAAGTTAACGACACTGGAACCAAATGAGGTGGGAGGTGGCCTATTGGGGACTTGCAGGCCCACCTGCTGGCAGATGCTGGCATAACGGGCCAGGACATTGGCATTTTCCATGATGGCGAGGGCTGAGGGGGTGTGTTCCCCAATTTTTAGCACACAACGCCACTTGGCGAAGTCAGCTCCATCCTTCTTGTACTGGGCACAGCGCTCAGAGAGCCCATCCAACCCTAAAAGAAGACAGAGGGGTCAGAGCACAGTGGGGAGGGGCAATGTGGTTTCCACTCCTCTCAGCACCCAAACCTACTCTGGCTGGGTTCGTAGGGCAGAGAATCAAACAGTTCTCACCTTGGGTGGTAGTCTCGCCATTTGTCCCTGCCAGGGGAACCACGCCCTTGTCTACCTGTTGGGGTCGGGGTAACAGCATTAATATACAGGAAATGACCTCTAGTACCCTTCCCACTGTTGCCCCGGCTGGAGTACAGTGGTGGGATCTCAGCTCACTGAAGCCTCCACTTCCTGGGCTCAAGTGATCCTCCTGCCTCAGCCTAAGTAGCTGGGCGTGAACCTCTTTCCTCTTCTTTAGCCCCAGTCTTCCCCCAAATTTACTTAATCTCTTAAATTGCATCTCAGGGCTGGCAAATATTTTCACTTAGTTACAATTATTTAGTTACTTAAGCCGGGCGCAGTGGCTCACGCCTGTAATCCCAACACTTTGAGAGGCCAAGAAAAGCGGATCACGAGATCAGGAGATTGAGACCATCCTAGCTAACATGGTGAAACCCCGTCTCTACTAAAAATACAAAAAAAAAAAAATTAGCTGGGCGTTGTGGCGGGCGCCTGTAGTCCCAGCTACTCGGGAGGCTGAGGTAGAAGAATGCTGTGAACCCGGGAGGTGGAGCTCGCAGTGAGCTGAGATCGCACCACTGCACTCCAGCCTGGGCAACAGAGCCAGGCTGTCTCAAAAAACAACTACTTAATATTTAGTTGCTAAAATACTTAGTTACAATTAAATTAAAATATTTTCACTTAGTTCACTTAGTAACAATCCTCTGAGACAGGATACACTGGGATATTTGACAACAGATATGTTGAGTGAATTGGGTGTCAGGAGACTGGGGCTCTGCCACTTACTCTGAGCAAAACACTTCACTTCCCTGAGCTTCTGAGATTTTCATCTGTAAAGGGGGAATAATACTGTTCTCTTAGAATTGTGAGGATTAAAAATGTCGAGTAAATGCCCTAAGCCTGAAGCAGGCTCCATGCAAGTCTCTAGGCCTCCAATCCAGCATTCATTCCCTGCCTCACTAACCTGGATTTCCTTCCTCCATTTCCATCTCAAACCTCACATCCTGAGGCCCTGCCCCTCACCTTGATGCCCACAACACCGCCCTTGGATTTTATAACTTGGGGGAAGGGACGACCATCATCCGCCTTCTGGTAGAGTGTCTCGTGGAAGAGGATGACACCCCCAATGCAGGGGTTCACGCGGTCGTCAGCTGTCAGCAGCAGCTGGCGGTAGAAGCGCCGGTTCTCCTCGGTGTTCTCGGTGCCAATGGACTGCAGCCTCTTGGCAATGCTCCCTGGGAGTGTCACATGGGAATTAGGGGACCAGCCTGCCACTCCTAACCCTGCACCCTCCACCCATTCTGTCTCCTGCCCGCACCAGTGGACTCATCTGCAGCCAGGATGCCCTTGCCGGGTGCCACGATGCGGTGAGCGATGTCAGACAGCTCCTTCTTCTGCTCCGGGGTCAGCGCTGGATATTGGTAGGGCATGGTGCTGGTGGTAGCAAGTTCCTGGGTAGAGGAAGCAGGGGAAGGACTAGTTAGCTGGGGTTTCCCATCATCTCCCAAAGAGCAGGGCTCCTCGCCTGGAGGTCAGGGAAACGTTCCCTACCTCCCCTGCCCCACACCCAGCAGGCCCTGGGGCGCTTCTGGTCCCCAGCTCTCCCGTAGGCCCAACTTCCCTATACTAGGCCTGCCCCTGTACCTTTCCTAACTCTGTCTGGTGCTGGGTGTTGCCCAGCTGAGGGTGGAGTTGCGCACTGGCAACTGGGGGAAAGGAAAAGGCCATAGCCATAGACAGGTGGGTCATGTTGAAGCTGGACCCTTCTGGCTTGCGCCTTGCCATGGGGTCACCTTGCCTGAAAACAAAACCGAACCGGAGTATTTTAGAATGTAAAGATTGAAACGAGCAGAGGGCCCAACACCCTCGTGGGAAAGGGCCCAGATAAGGGTAAAGTCTGTGCTTCACGCCACACAGCAACCCCGGAGCCAGATCTGAGATTAGAACCCAGCTCTTCTGACTGCCACTGGGGTGTTCCTTCCAATCCACCCAAGATCCCAGGGCTGGCCCGGGCTCCAAGTCTTCAAGGACATCCCAAGGTCAGGCTTTTCCCCACAAGGGAGGGGGTGGGTGGTAGGAAAGGGGTATTAGGAAAAAGATAAGAGAGCAACGAGAAGCCCAGGAAAGGGCGGCGGAACAAGCCCTAGCCCGAGGCAAGAAAAGCGGTAAGCTTTGCCGTCGTCACTGTTCCTACGGGGCAAGCGCCTTTCCCTGAAAAATGCTCCTGTCGCTTCGCACGGCTGCAGCTGTTCCGGGCTCAGAATCAAGGTCGCCCGATAAGGAGAGACAGGGAAAGCGTTAATGGGGCATCAAGCACCGCCAAGGGGTTTCCCCTCCTCACGAGGGGCGGCCCGTTTCCCAGGGCAGAAACCAACCTCCCGCTTGCGAGAACCCTGGGGCTGTACACGGGCCGACCCCCACCCCTCAGTGGCTCTTAGGATCCCCGCCAGGGCTAAGGGGCCCTAATCCTGTGCCACAGGGGTCCCTGCAAGAAAAGGGGAGGGGAATGGTCCTTCATCTCATCCGGCTTCCTCCCCCGCCATGACTCAGCACGCGCTGCCGCTGCATTGCGCAGTTATGGGACCTCAGGCTGGAGGAGCCGGAGAGCCTGTGTGTGGCTGGTAGTAGGGAGACGCTGGCATGGGGTGGAGTGCTCCACGAGGACGCCCAACCCGCCACTGCCCCCAAGATCCCTCTCCAAGGTCCCTGGTCCCTGCACGTGAAGAGGGGCGCTCACCTGGCACAGAAGAGGGGCGGGTGTGCAGGGTGCGGCGGCAGAGGGCGGCGGGCTGGCGAGTGGACTCAGGGAGCGAACGCGGCACTCGTCACCAGGACCCCTTCTGCGGCGCGTTCCGAGAGGAACGCAGCCGATTCAGCCTCGGAGGGGGCGGCGCAGGGGGCGGGAAAGAGGAAGGCAGCGCCTGGCCTTTTAAAGGCACCACTCCGCCCTCCGCCGAGCATTTTCCTTTACGAGGAGCGAGCGGCGTCCAATTGCAGGCGATAGACTGGGCTACGGACCGCCCCTGAGAGGTGCAGCCCAGAGGCCGCGCTAGGAAGGGGCGGGCGCCGAGAACACGATCCCTCCCCACCCCCCTCGGACGTGACTCGGGCCACATCCCGCGGGTCGCAAGCTCCCGCCCCTCCGCTCCTTTCCCCCCAGCCTGGTGCGCTCTGGGGCGCCGTGACTCAGCCAGAATGTTGGCACTGGAGAAGGGGGAGACCGGGAAGTGGGGGATGCGGATAGAAGAGTCGGAAACGAAGGAGGCTGAGTTTCGTCGCCCAGGCCGGGCCCGCGGCCCGGGACCGCCCCAGCTTCTGGCTTCGCGGCTGCGGCGCGTGTCACCATCGGGGCCACATCGCGCAGTCGTGCCTCAGCCTGCCTCGCCCGCGGGCTGGATCCGCGCGGAGCCGATCCCCAGTCACTGGCCCAGGCGTAACAGAGGCGGAGGAAAGGGCAGCGAGAGGACGCGCAGGCAGCGCGAGAGGGCAGCAGAGCTGGCGCAGCGCGGAGGCGAGGCCTCCCGGTGCGAGCTCCCGGCGGGCGGGCCGGGCTGGGTCGCGCATGCGTGCGCGCTCTCTGCCCGGGCCGCCGCAGCCAGGCTGGTAGTCTTCTGCGCCACCGAAAACCAGAATGCGCGGCTATGGACCGGCCGCTGCTCGGCCTCGGGCATGCGGCGCCACAGTTCCTGCCAAACGCCCTCCTTGCGCCTGACTTCCATCTCCAAAATAAAATCCGTCCCCGAACTGATCTGTCTCCCAGATGCTTAGCCCCCTGCTCCTACCGTCCAAGTCTCCCCTCCTCACCCGGACCCATCTGGACCCTGTCGGCCCAACCCCATCCCCACCCCGGCCCGGTCCTGCAAGGGGCCCACCTGCGGCAAGGCTGAAGGAGCCGGCAGAGCCTGGTCAGCAGCGAGTGAGCCAGGGGTGCCCGGGCTGGGTTATAAGGCGGCTCCTACCCGCCCCACACGTGTCCCCGACCTTCTCCGATGACCCCTGCCCTTTTCCCGCCACGGATCCTCTGGCAGGGACCTATATTTAGGGAAACCTGAAGCCCCTGACATTCACACCAGCCTGGGGCCCGGCATGGAGGAAGGGGGAGGAAGCCTTGGGTCGGCCCTGTTGACGGGGAGGGAGCCCTTGCCCACTCACCGGTGCTTCAGAGGAAATTTCTTCTTTGGAAATCCAGACGGAGGCCCTTGATTGTCAAGAGAAATAAATCTTTGGCCAGGGACCTGTGGGAGGGAAAGGGATGAAGGGACTCAGATCACGTGGCCTCCCTGCCACCCTCCCAGACTCCTCTAATCTCTCTCCTCCCCAGACTCCCTGCCGTGATGGTGGCTGTTCTGATTCTCTGGAGCCCTGGTTTTTTTTTTAGGAAGGAGAGCAGATACTGGCACTACACTCACCTCCTAAAATAACCAAGAGTCCGTGGATGGAGTGTGGTCGGGCACTCTTGTGTACCCGGTATTCAAGGGCCAGGCTCCTCCTATAACACTTGTGTGTGGTGAGCAGCGCCACCCCCCTGCCCACCTTCAAATAGAATCGTTGACGTGGGGAGGGGAAAGGGAGCCAGGACACCTGCCCCAGCAGTAGCCCCTCTCTCTTCTGGCCCTCCAGAGGAGCTGCCGTCCAGTCGGCCAAGAGTCCCGCCCTGCAGGGAGCCAGGCCCGGCACTGCCACTTCCAGTTCCGAGGCCTGGGTGCTGGGCAGGCCATTTGTGGTTACAGTGGCCTGGAGAAAGGCTCTTCAGGGAGGAGGGCCCATGGGCCCTGGGGGCTGGCCACTCTCCAGAGGGCAGGGGCCCTGGGTTCTCATCGGAGCTTGATTTCGAAGCAGAGACAGTTGAGGCTCTGGCAGTCGGGGAGCTGGCACGTACAGGCACAGTCGCAGAGTGGGCAGCAGCGGGGGCAGCGAGGTGCCCAGTCCTGAGGGAGGAGAGAGAGGGGTGAGGTAGGTGGGATGGGGCCAAGCCTGTTGCTCTCTAAGGGGAGAAGGGAACAAAGAGGCCTGGGAAGTTCCACTTGCCCAGTGGAACAGAGGGTACTGTCCATCATTCCCAGAAACAAGAGCAATTCTCTGTGCTGTTGAAAAGTCAGCAATGAGTCCTTGTTCTGAACAACTGAGTTCAGGAGCTAGAAGCAACGATTCGGGGTTCTCTCCTTCCTATTTTATGGGTGAGAAGACTGAGGACCAGAGAGCAACTGGCCCTGGGTCCCATGCTAGAATTTGGGCCTCCCAGTGTCAAGCTCAAAAGATGGCTCTGCCACAGTCCCGGGGTCTGTGCAGTTGAGGCAGTAGACAGAGAAAGCACATACATTTTTCTGTCCATCATGAAAATGACTTGTGGGCTTTATGGACTTCTTCAGCATGAGACCAAACTATAGGGTCTCATTCTCACTATTTTTGTGCATCTGCTCTCTGCAAGGAACAGACCGCATTCGTGAATGATTTAAAAAATCTTTCCAGGTATCTTTGAAAATGGCAATTTACATATTTTTCTTTTCTTTTCCTTTTTTTTTTTTTTTTTTG